CCCCTTCAACTGTGAGCCGCCCTGAGTCCCCTCAGGGAAAAGGGCGGCATACAAATAAAGTCTAAATGGAAAAAAAATGAAATATTGAGCTTGTCAAATGAACATGGCTTACCACCTTGCTTTATATTTCTCCAGGTCAACAACAATGGGGTTATCTCTTTTGGAAAGTACATCTCAGCGTACACTCCTAATGCTTTCCCTCTGAAAGATGGAATACCCTTTGTTGCTCCATTTTGGTCTGATGTTAACAATAAAGTCAGTGGGAACATCTTCTGGAGACAGTCTGAAGACCCAGTGCTGCTTAGTCGGTTTGCTGTGGACCTCAGTCGGTATCACCCTGAAATTTCTTTCATACCCACGTGGATGTTTGTTGCCACCTGGTACAAAGTAGGCTACTTTGGATCTGCTTCAAAAAAGGTAGGTCTCACACAATAATGGCAATCTGGAGTTTTCCTCCTCTTCCAGAAGACTGCTGCTTATTTATTGAAAGTAAATGTGGCGTATAGGTAAAAGTACTGAACTATAGCCTCCCACACGTCTCGTCACAGAAACTCACTGGATGACTTTAGGTCAATCCTTCCCTCTCAGTCCAAGAGCCATGGAGGTAGAGGTTGAAAGTGTTGGACAAGGAGCACCAAGACCCGGATTTAAGTCCATCTTCAGCCATAGAGGCTCTCTGGATGACTTTAAGACTGTCCTTCTCTCTCAATACTGTCAGACCTGCCCTAGTCTGATCCCTTAGGAAAGAAAGACCCTCGACTCCATTTGGTAGAAGTGATAGGTTCTTTTACTAAAAGACGCTGACTGCAGTAAGGTCAGGCTGGAATTAAATCTCCCACGCTAAAAGGATACAAAAATTTCCCCCTCCTCCCGACCCTCCTCCTCCCCCCCTCCTCCTTGGTGTTTTGAGAGCACTGAGATCATTGGGATAATCCACATTCCTTCCCAGGGTGCATGGCCTTGAGTGCTGGCACAAACTGGTTCAGAGCTTCATTGTTCTTAGGCAAGCTTCCTCCTCTCTATTTCTCAGCACATACTAATACAGGTTTTTTTTTGTTCTTTTATTTTATTTTTATTAACAAACATGTACAAAACTTAGACGTACACCACATTTACACAATACAGTACGAACAGGAGCTTCCTGTTCTTTCTAATAGCAATNTCTGAAGGCAACTTCTGTTCCATGGGTTGATTGTTGTCCCTGTCAGGAAATTTCTCCTTATTTCTAGGTTGAATCGCTCCTTGGTCAGTTTCCTTCTGAAGGATGCTACTTGAGGTTTGGTGACTACAAGGAGGTTTTAGCAGAGATCAGGGCATAGCTATTAGGATGGGTAGACTTGATGGCGCTCCTTTCTGACTATGGGAATGTTATAGAAAGTACTGCCGCCAGCACAATTCCTATCCTTTTTAAGAAGATTATGTCCAAGAGGAACTCACATGTCAAAAATGTACAAGCTCATCTAAAAATTATTCCACTTTCTGTGTTCTGAGTTCCTCCTTTGACATTGCACAACAGATCTTTAGACCTCCGGAATAATGACTCTGTGTTTCTATCTTCTGCTTTTGAACCTAAGTGGTTTTTCAGTCATCTTCATTCTCATTTTAATTGAAATGACTGAATAAGGAATGTATGCGTGTATCTGGGTTTACATACATGAATAAAAACGCTCCAGATCTGATTGCATTTTTGTTTCTTTTTTTTTCTTTTTTCTTTTAGGATCAGCATTGCCTTGTCTGGCTACAAACCCAAAGAGTAAGTTTTAGTTGAATCCATCAATCTAACTGGGGTGTTTTCTGAGGCAAAGACAATGCTATGTTGAGACAATAGCAAAATAGTAAAATGGTGGAGTGGACATTGATCCCAGGACAAGGATCACCGTTAGCATCATCCAAAAATAGTCTCCCACGTTCCAGATCAACCTTGCCCCCGCCATGTTCTCCAGGTGTTCAGACTACATCTGCCAAAAGTCTCACAGCAGCAACCATGCTGTTGGGAGAATCCTAGGAGTTGGAAGTTTACACCCCGAGAGGACATTCAAGTTAGAGAAGGCAGCCTTACACCTCTGTGTATGCCTAGCCCTAGATGTTTCTTCCTAGACCTGCTGTACTGGATGGCAAAGTCTCAAGGGAATTCTTCTCGCACCCATCTGAGTGCAAGAACAAACTTAGGATAGAACAGAATAACAGAGTTGGAAGGGACCTTGGAGCAGAGGTGGGTTGCTACCCGTTCGCACCATTTCAGGCAAACCGGTAGTGGTATTTTGGCCTTGGTTGCCTGAACCAGCAGTGACCCAGACTGGCCACATCCCTGAATTGGTTTCCTGGTCGGTGATGCTGTTGTCGGCATGTTTTTTACCACCACTGCCGTAAAAGAAGAAAGGGTAAAGCAGAGAAAGTAAGGGTGGGGAATTAAGAGTAGGAGAGAGAGTAAGAAAGAGGAGAAGGGAGGAGGAGAGGGGAAAGAAAGGGGATGAAGAAAGGAGGAAGGAGAGGAAGAAAGAAGAAGGCAGAGAAGGTAGAAGAGAGAGAGAGAGAGA